CCCCAAAACCCCAAAACCCCGAGCTGCAGTATTTAACAATTGACAGATGAAAATTAATAATAAATATTTTAGTAATAATGCATTAAAGCAATAACCCTGAATCTCCTATGAAGTATATCAGCAACAATTAAAAGAAACTTAACAAAGCCAAGGACAACTTCATCTACTTGCTCAAGTCATTCCTCAAAGAAGACAAGGGAAACTAGATCTACGATATGGTTACTATGAACTTGCCAGCTGAAATCAATTAAATCAGTGGAGGCAAAATTTAAGTTAGCAACTTTGAAGTGACTGTTGACTTGGAAATTGATCTTATGAATATGATATACTTTGACTAATTTTTAGCTGAAAACTTCATCAGGTGCTTCTTCAGATACTATCCTAAGTTATCTATCTACATCAAAGAAGTCTTCATTGAAATATATACCTAAGAGTAGATGACCTTGATCAAGCATACCAGTTAAAACTCAGCTTAGCAATATGAAAGAGAACACCAGTTTAAGATGAAAGTGGCAGACTTAGAGATGGGAATGGTTATCAAACTTAATCTCAGAATTTCACATTTCCCCTATTTCATTAACTAGATTGATCCAGCCACCCTACTATCAAACAGTATACTAAGGAATCATGGACAACTCATTTAGCTCAAGCTAGTGCGAGTACTTAATGTTTTTCAGCCCTCACTCTATCTATACTCCAAGTTATATAAACGGTAATGTAAATGTGTTCACCAGCCTGAAATCATCACAGAGATAAACACTAATCCCTTAAAAATATTCAAGAACTAAGTCAACTACTCCAATAAGATGGGCAAGCATCTTTACTATGACACTCTTAATGAAGACAAGGATATAACTTGCGATGATTGTGATACTAAATACACTGTGGCAGAACAAAAGTATGCTTCCTGCCAGAAAGCTGAGATTTTGGCACTCTGTGACAATTAAAAGAAAAAGGTCATTAGTCTTACACAAAATATCTCAACACTCTGGCTTATTGAACCCTTTTTGAATTCAATATAAATAGGTTAAGTAATAAACCTCACAGGGTACTACTTTATGTTTCCACAGCAGTAATTTATAAATGAGAGATGTATATCTGCACTTCTTGGAGCAATTGTTGCCTTTAACGTCATTAAAGTGAACCCTTTTCATCAGATGATTGGTAAGGACTCAGCTCTGGCTTCTTTATTCTATTGTAATAGCACTAACTCAGTTAAAACTTCTAAGAGTATAAATAGCATGAGAAATAAATCACTCTTAACACTAGACAACATCAAGATGCATGATGTTTGCACGCAAAATGCCAACAACAAATTCTATCCTAAGATTAACAGGCTAAATGATCTTGCAAATAGGAGAGCTCACAGATATCAAGGCCCTTCAACAAATTACTCTGGAACGTTTTCTATTTTTGAAGCTCTCTATGAAATAGAATCCTTTAACCAGATCTCTGATCAAAATAGTACTAAGAACTCTTAGAAGACATAGTCTGATTCCCAGTAGAATTAAGTTCTCTCATAAGAGGAATATAGAGATGTTTTGCTTTAGAAAATGCTAGCACTGGATGATCTTGATGACTAATTCAGTAAAATTCACCTGCTGGTTGATAAGTTATTTGAGAATCAGAAGAACATGAGTTAAAATTCAAACATGTTTCACCTTAAGTTTTCTCTATTACTCAGCAGCATAGTTCAAATGAAAAACTCTCTGATGAAATACCTAGAGCATGAAAGTTAAGAGCAAGTACCTGAACTTTAGCTATGGACATAGAAACCAATCATCTAGAGTTTCAATCCGGAAACTAATTCAGAGGAGGAATATAGCTTTTTCACTCCAATAGAACATCAGGAGGAAAATACTGAGAATATTCCCTTAGCAGCCTCCAGAGAAAATATTAATCTTCTCCTATTGACAACTGATAGTGTTCACATTGACTCTTTAATTGCTACTATGAATGTCAAAGGAGTAAAAATAGTTGAATTTCCTAACATCTATGAACCTACCTCAATCATTCCATTCCTACTGATGAACGATCACTCAATAATTATCTTCAGAAATCCTAAAAAGGATCTTCTCAACTTAATTAAGCTAATAATTAGGAAAGGTTTCATATATCTTAAGCAGAGCAACACTCCTATCTAGGTTAACTTTACTATTTGGGTGATGATAGATACTATAGCTTTTAATGACAAGTTGAAAGGTAACAAAAAAGGATAGAAGAGTTTACAAGAAGTAATAGTCAAGGAATATGGAATAGATTTCCCAAATCTATTTGATGTGATTGTTGATAACTCTATTCATTCAAATGTCTAAATTCTCGGGACTGACTTCCTGAGATATAATGACAATTTGATACTAGACAGGCTATCCTTAAATCTTGAACAGGGACATCCAGAGTTCAACAAGGAATTTATATTTGACTATAGAGATTTAAAATGCTTCTGCAAGCCAATCAATCCTCACTAAGGCGGGAGTCGACAAATCGTGAATATTTCAGATCTTTAGCTGAGCAAACTGAGTGTTGGTGAACTATTCATTTAGTACTATTATTTATGCTAAAGGAAATAGCACTAGGAGAATGATACCAATGCAGCTTTTTACAAAGATGAAAATGGCAATGCTGCTAATGAGATACACTGGATGAGCTTGACTGATGTAGTAAAAGTAAAGAAGATAGCAGATAGCATCAATTTTATGAGGCTGTTCTATCTCAAATCGTCTGATGATCAAATCAACCAAATCAAGCTAGAAAGAGGAATCATATCTTCCCAGTTCAGCAATAAATCCGTCTAGAATTAAGGTATCGAGATCATAGATTGTGTGATGTCTATTTTCTTGTATGAGTTGACTAGACTTTCCAGAGGTAAGCAGACATTGTACTCCAAGGATCAGTTTCAATATAAGATACTTAATTTTTTCTCTGGACTTAAATTGTGTAGAGTCATTGATAACCCCAATCTGAATTTGAATCCAAGTGATGTTCGCAGACCTAAAGCTAGGACCAATTATCTTGAAGAAGATTAGTTTGACTTAGATGAGAGGTAAAACCAGGAACCGGACTTACTAGATGGACTGATTGAGCAAATGAAGGTTGATCTCAAAATTTAAGATGACTAGATTGAGTCTTGTGCAAACTGCAAAACTAAAGCAAGAGAGAATCTTAAGTTTAGGAATTTGTACAAAACTCTCATTGAGAATATTTTGAGAAATATCAATAATTGTTGAATTATAATTTTATATAAGACTAATTTAATTTAATAAATATCATCAAATAAGAGCCATATGGGGTTTTGGGGTTTTGGGG